CTGCTGAATGGAGTGTAAGATGTGTTATTTGCTTGTCCTGTGGAAAACCTTAGAGAAACTAAAACCCCTACATACTGCAGGAATAGTTGTCCTGGCTGTAATCCCTGTAGAGTAGCTTGGTCAGACACCGACCTTTAGTGCAATAGATTGAAGAGTACAACTACAGCTCTTGCAGAGGTGGATAAAACATTTGGAAAGACTTCTGACCTTTCAGAAAATACCTGCAAAGCATCAGTCACCAGCCTGTCAGTCTTAGGGCGTCTCCTTCAAAGCACAGAAGAGCCTCCAAGGAAAGCTACTGGTCTCGGAACAGGGGATGACCTTTGGGATCCAGGCAGCGTGGGGACTGTCACAACGATGCTGAGTACAGCAAACCACTCCTGGTCTGTGTGGAAAGCCTTAGAAGCCCACGTACTTCACAGGGCTCAAACACATCACCTCCCCTTCCTTCCTCCCTCTATCGCTTCTCAACAGTTTCTCCTCAAGAGATACAATGATGGCAAACGCCTTCAGTTCACACCTCTAATTAAATTTCCGTCTCTCTGTAAGGCACGTGGGAATAAAAGACTAAGACGGAGCTTTCTGCTTGAGCAATAACAAAAACAGAGCCCAGAGGCAGTTACCAAAAGCAAAACTGATGATGCCTCCTACCTCCATCCATGAAGCAGGGCCTCATTGTATCATTTACTTACGTCATTCCTATTTTTAGAGCTAAAACTCACCTTTCCACCCAGTTCTTGTAGCTGGGGATGTCCTTGGCATAGAGAAGCTTGTTGGAGGGTGAGTCTTTGCCCAGACGGTGCTCTGAGGTCGAACAGGAGTCCATGAAAGTCTGAGCCACTACGGAGAGGCAGGCATCCGTGATGCTGTTCTTGTGGATGTCGAAGACGAACTGCGGGTTCTTGATCATGTTCACCCAGAACCGTAACGGCAGGCTGCAAGAGGGGTGGAAGAGGTGAGTCAGCCAGTGCACGGTTCTCAGGCTTTGCTGCGTGAGGTTACAATGGTAAATGGTGGATGGGAAGCAAAGATCAGGGTGTGGAGAGAAGTATTCTGGGATAAGCTTTGATATACAATAAATTCTTCCCCTACAGGATGCTATTCATGGCAGTGGAGTCACCCTGGGAGTGGCTTTTGTTCCTGTCATCCTTACAAGCCAGATTTTGTGAGTCTTGAAGTCAATGCCATCTTACTGAAGTTGCATATAAATTAATGGGAGTATAATCCCATTGGAGCGAGTCCAGAGGAGGGCCACAAAGATGATCAGAGGGCTGGAGCACCTCTCCTATGATGAAAGGCTACAAGAATTGGGCTTGTTCAGCCTGGAGAAGAGAAGGCTCCGGGGAGACCTCATTGCAGCTTTCCAGTACCTGAAGGGGCCTACAAGGGTGCTGGGAGAGGACTTTTTACAAGAGCCTGTAGGGACAGGACAAGGGGCAACGGGTACAAATTGAAAACAGGGAGGGTTAGATTAGATATCAGGAGGAAATTCTTCCCGGAGAGGGTGGTGAGGCACTGGAACAGGTTGCCCAGAGAAGCTGTAGATGCCCTATCCCGGGAAGGGTCCAAGGTCAGGCTGGATGAGGCTTGGAGCAACCTGGTCTAGTGGAAGGTGTCCCTGCCCACGGCAGGGGGGGTGGAACTAGATGGGCTTCAAGGTCCCTTCCAAACCAAACCATTCTATGATTCTGTGATTCTATGATTCTAATCGAGGTGATGAAAATGACCCTAACTTCTCTGTTAGGTTGCAATGTAAAGTTGCCTCTCTTGGCTGCCTCATCAGACGAGGACAGGCATTGCATCTGCAAAACTTGAGGTGAACATTTGTCACTGAGGGACTTGGCTTTTAGTCCTCATAGCAACCCCATGGGAAGAGAGGTAGGCAGAGCTCCCAGGTTGAGGCCAGGAGTGCTAATGGCATGCACTGCGGACACCGTGTACTGTTGCACTCCATGGCTCAAGCCCACGTATGATCCCAGAACACTGGGCATGAAGCAGGAGTTACATGACAGGGAAACCCTGCTGCTTCAAGGAAAAAAAAAGGAATCCGGAAACAAGTGTTGCAACCTTTGAAATGAAAATATATCTGCCTTAACCAAGGACATGTTACTCCAATTGCATTCCAAATGCTTTTTTCCCCCGCTTTTTTCTCAAAAGAGCAGTTCATTTGTATGAGATGCCCTGAGGTATCTACCTCCAGCCTTTGCCTCAAGCCTTTTTATCAGGGCAAATGCATCCATATGATCGTGGCCTAGGAGCTGAGATGTGTCACTGATCACAGAATAAACTCTTGTCTCTCTGTCGGCGTGACTGTTAAGTTCTACCTTCAGTGTCTGCACCTTCCCCAGAGGAGGTTATTCTGCAGCTTAACAAATTCACCTGGCGTTCAGGCTAAACTCCCCAGTTACTGAGTTCCTCCCATTTCCTCGTTACCCCCATGTGTTCACAGCACCATAAAAAATGCATCTCCAAGCCTGAGACATGTCAGGTAACAGCAGGCAGTTTAGCATGTCCTGACAGAGGGATGACACCATAGAATCATGGAATGGTTAGGGTTGGAAGGGACCTTAAAGATCATCTAGTTCCAACCCCCCTGCCAGGGATCGGGCATCCACAACATCTCTGGGCAACCTGTTCCAGTGCCTCACCACCCTCTCTGTGAAGAATTTCTTCCTGATATCTAATCTAAACCTCCCTGATTTCAATTTATACCCATTACCCCTTGTCCTATCACTACAGGCTCTTGTAAAAAGTCCTCTCCCAGTACCCTTGTAGGCCCCCTTCAGATACTGGAAAGCTGCAATGAGGTCTCTCAAACCATGTTTTCCTAAACCACTGTGTGTTCTCCTGAGACAGCAAAATCACAGAGCAAATGTAAGGAAAGCCCCACACAAGTAATCCTATCAGCCGAGTTCAGGAGAAGTGGGAGATGCTGGAAACGAGGCCTGATGGAGTTGCCCGGAGAAGCATTTTAGGCTGAGGATGGAGATTCGTCTGCTGGGGGATGAGGGAGCCATGCAGAACATCTTCTGCAGGTGTTTGGGTGGCAAACACAGTCACAGTGAGGACGAGCAGAGTGCATGTATGTGTGCCTGAGTGTGCGTACAGGTGTGGGGAGGGGCTGGGGGGACCATGTCCCTAGCTGGGAATAATGAAGCCCGTGATGTGACTTTGAGTTAATTTAGTCTGATTGAACAGGTTTCTTCATACTGCCCTTTTCCCCACATACACACACACTCTACCTTCCCCCCTCCCCCCTTAAATAAACCTCCTGCTCATTTAGTCTGAGTGGCTGCAATCAGCCTTAGATTAGTGCCGCAGATAATGTTAATAATATGCTAATGTTTCATTAGTTGAAAGCCTCTTTGGTGCATGGGGTTTCTTTTTTTATGTCACTGCACTGTGACGATCTGCCATCAGCATGGCTGGTAAAAGGAGAAAATGCATGAGCTGGGAGCCCCATGGCTCTCCTCTGCTGTTCCTTTTATAGTCCCTGTATTTGCACAGGAGAAGGGGAGGGAGTGATTCCCCAGGGGACTCTGTCCAACAGGGAGACTCAGCAGAGAGAAGACGCAGAGATCTTTTCTCTGCACCAATCCTGGCTGTCCCGTTACATGTACGAAGAGGGGCTGCCGCCTGCCAGCTAGAGCAGGGGGCTGATGTCAGACCCTCACTCACTCTGAAGGAGACTCGCATCCAGCTCCAGACCCTTTAAGAGCTTTGTAACATCTGAGATGCTCTCCTGGCCTCCAGCTGCCAGCCCAGGAGGGTACAAGTCTCCTGCAGGTGCTGCACATCCCCTGCAGATGTCTGGGATACCTTAAAATATCTCAGATGGCACTAGATGTGTGGGCAAACAAATGGAGCTCTAGTACCCCTCTGACTATAGTGTGAAATCAAGCACCCAGTCTAGATGAAGGCAAGGGTGCTGAATCCTCTCCCATGCCACCCCTAGATATTCCTATGGGCCTGGGCACTGCAGCAGTTAAACACTCCACTATTTTTCCCTCAGAAATACTGCCATCCCCATGTTAATACAGGGCAAGCTGGGACCGGCTTAGCCAGAGCACTCCATCCTTGGGAGCATCCTTTAGATTCTGGGATCGTCTGTCTTCCCTGTTGGCTTGGGAAGAGCGAGCCTGGTGCTCTGAACCCCACATCAGATACCAAACCACATGTCCCTGTACTCTCCTTCCAGTGCAGGACCTGGCACTGGACTGTAGTGGGTTGTCTCACTCACCAATTGCTCTTCCAGGTGTGCCGCACGTGGGGGTCATGGATGTTGTGCTTGTCAGCCTGCTCATCCAGGAAATCGAACATGTATTTGATAGCCAGGGGCAGTGCACTGCCACGGTGAGCGGTGCTGAAGATGGTCTCAAAGAGGTCATCTACAAATTTCTGGAGGGTGCCCTGTGGGGAGAAGGAAGGAGAAAAGAATGTGAGATACCAAGTGGGAAGAGGATATTGAATTTTAGTACCTCACTAAAACCAGAGTATGTCTGTGGATCGGGCCCAGAGAGTGTGATGGAAAAGTGGGAGCCACTTAATAGCTGTTAAATGCGACATGAGCTGGACATTTCCATACAGATGTCTAAGCAGTCATGTGCATCTTCACAATATCCACTACAACTGGTTAGCAGCCAGATGGGGTAGGTCAAGATGCCACCCATCCTCTCTGCTTCTAGCACTGCCTGCCAGGGAGGGTGGGTGACCTTGGTGGGACACCTTGCCTCAACTCAGGTATATGGTGATGGAGAGGCCCTGATTTGTTTCCACTGTGATTCCTCTCCTCTGCATGCTATCCTCAACTCCTTTAGTGCATGCAAGAGGCAAAAAACTAGACATTTTCTATGCTGGCTTTCATCCAGGGACAATTCTTAAGCTGGGAATAGAAGTCAGATGACTGTGGAGCGGAGAGAAGGTGTCATTGAGACAAATGGGACAAGAGTACCTGGAGAGAGATGGCTGTTTTATATGTGCAAGTAGTACAATAAATAACATGAACTTCATCTTAATCCCCAATAGGCCTCTTCATTTTTAACTACCTGTTGGCACAGGCCTGAGGCAAACACTACAAGCAATGCATGGATGTGTCAGGTACTGCTCTGCAGACCTCAGTAATGTCCACTGCAGAGACTGTAGGGGTCTCCTTACGCTCCTCTGGGAGGAGAATCCCAGAGCCTGTGCCTGGAGAACCACCCTGGACAAACCAGTGAGAACCACTGACCTTTAGCAAGAAGGGGAAGAGCTGGAGTATCGGAGGGTGACCAGGCCTGGAGAAGGGGGCAGTTGAGGAGCTGTGATAACCAGATGAGCTGCAGGCTGGGTTTGGGGGGAACCAGGCAAGGCACACTTTCACCCCTGAATGGGGAGCACTAGCCCACATTCAAACTTCAGCCACCAGAGCTGCACCAGGCATTTATATACAAATCAACCATACGGCTGCTAAAATAACCAAATAGCAATTAAATCTCCAACAAACATTTCCTGATACGCAAAATTTCCTCAGCTGAAAAAGGAACCCCTCCCCTTTCTCTGCAGACCCAGGAAAGAAATTCTTCTTCCTAGAAACAAAGCACCAGGTTCCACCAGAGTGGCTCAAGTTTACACAGCGCTAACAAATGCTTAATTAGAAAGCTGGTGTCTCTTGCTGATTCACCACTTGATTTATTCTTCGGGAAACAGAGGTACCTTTTGCTTGTGTGAACTACTAACGGGGTGAATAAAGCCCTGCAGCACATGTCTGACTCAGAACAGGCCCCGGAGGGGAAATCTTGTTGGTCTGACATGGAAGAGCTGCCCTTAGGTTCCGTTTCTGGAGGGAATTAGTTCTCTACATGCTCACCCACACAAACACAAAGCAAACCTCGGAGGCTTTTAGGCAAGAGAGTCTAGGTCTCAGAGGTCAGGGATTTACCAGAATAAAAATCATTGTCAGTTTAACTAAGTATTCCCTGGGATTGTATTACCAGCAACTGGCCTCTCTCCTCTTCCCCTCCCTCAAATGATCATGATGAGAAAAGAAAATTGCTCAGCCCAAGAGGGGAAAGAATAAACCCCCAGCCTTTCTACTCTCGCTGTTGCTGTGCAAGTTTCACAGCTGCTTTCCTGCCATCTCCACAGAAAAAAGGAGTGTTGAGTTTGTGATCCGGAACAGAAAGCAAAAGCGATTCAGTGGTGGGGTAGGGGATGTATCCCCAGACAGCGTAAATCAGCACCGGTCCAACGCTTACTGGTTTACACCAGCTGGGGCCTGATCCCTGAGGAGCATCATTTTCTTTTTACGTTGTGTGATCCATAAAAGCATCATGATGCCAGGGAGCTGGGCATCTACCAGGGGCTAAAGACAAAGCCACTTTAACTCCAAATCCCACTGCAATGTAGACAGCCTGAGTGAGGCTGCAGGGAGAGTCAGACATCAGAGGCAAAAAGAGCTGAGGAATAAATGTGCAGACAAAACCGTATGGTAGGGCTGAAGCACGTGATGGAGACCTGTCTGATGGGGAAACTCAGACAGCGTTTGCATGAACACATGTAATTGTGTTTGTGGCTATTAACACCCTGACAGGAAATTATAATAGTCAAAAATTCAAAGTAGGGAGGAAGATTGGGCTGTTTGATCACTCCGAGTGAGATAACCCCACGATCAGCCACACCTGAGGCACAGCTACGCTACAGTTTCCCCTTCTGGGATTCATTAAGGTAACTCTCATGTTAGAGAGATTCAGGCACAAAGATTCTCTGTGCTGCAAGAGGATGGCAGAACTGCAAAGGGAGCCATTCTCTGATCATACCACCTTCCTCCCACCTGCCCTAGTCCCTGCTGGGGTGCAAAAGATTGTTGCAGACTTTTCATTAATGCAGGGAGACCACCATCCACAGGGTGGAAGAGCAAATAAATGTAAATATACCTCAGACAACTGCTTTTGCCCACGCTCTTGCGGAGCTTTTACAAGTGGGTTAAGTGGAAGATAGTCGCAGTTAGACATGAAAGAAGGTGAAAGGTCTGAGAGCTTTTGTCAACCTCAGAGAGAGCCAACTGCAGCAAGAACTGGCTGTGCCCTTCACACGGAAGGGACGTGTGGTGAGTGACAGCAAGTTCTTTCTGGGCAGACAGTGGCAATTTAGCCACTTTCTGTTTCTGTCATGGAGCCAAAGTCCACGGCAGGAAGTTCTAGACCTGTCAGCTTGAGTGATGTCCACTTGTGCAAGTGTCCTCCCCATCGTGCCGCATCCCTTATTACTCTAAACACTCACATACTGCCCTACTATGGAAGTTCTACAGGCTCTGGCAGGCACACACGTAGGAGGCTGGTTTCCAGCATTTTGAGGAATATGGATTGAGCAGATGGGATTTTACTAACTTCCCAACCCTCCCAGAAATGTTGCTTTTGGAAAGCACAATTAGCCAGATCACAAAATAAAGGAGGAGCTGGGTCTGCACCACTTCTAGGGAGTACATCTTCACAGCATGGGCAGTCCTTGCACTCTGCACAGACCTGCCACGGGCTGGCAGTGATGTGTGACCATGTGCCTGGAGATTCAGGTGAGGATGTCCCTGCTCTGCCCCCACCTGACTTAGTCTGTATTTTCTCTTTGGAGACCCTGAGATTTCCATGACTTGATGGGGATGGGCATCTGCTTGCTCTCCTTGGAGCTGGCCATCTGTTATCCACATCACAAAATGGTTTGAGTTGGAAGGGACCTTAAAGCCCACCCAGTCCCACCCCCTGCCATGGGCAGGGACACCTTCCACTAGACCAAGTTGCTCCAAACCTCATCCAGCCTGGCCTTGGACACTTCCAGGGATGGGGCACCCACAACATCAAAGTCAACTTAACCCCCTGTCAAGTCATCAGCATGAGAGTCCTTATGGGTCCAGGGGAAAGGTGGAGAAGAAGGACTTGTACCACAAAACTCAGGGTTTTGTGGCAGAGGAACCCATTTCAGACTGTGAGGCATGGCACATCCTTGGAACCTGATCTGGGTACATTTATTCCCTGGCTCTTCATTTGCTGAATTTTGGTACAAGCTGCAGGCCAGTATAATCAACATCCCCAACACACACCTACCCCTGTGCTGACTTTCTTCACCAGTCTCCTCACTTTACTGAGTGAGGAGTTAAGTTCTTTACTCCTCACTGGAGTCCCTTTTCTGACTCTGCTTTCTAAATTCAAGCTCCTTCCCTCTATGCTTGGAGCACTCCTCTTGCTGTTTTCCTTTTCTCTTTATCCCTCTTTGAGCAGTCTCTCATTTCTTGTTGGTAAGAAGTCCCACTGCAGCCTTCAAAAACCCATTTCTCACCCTCTTCCCCCTCAAGACCATGTACCTTGGTGGCAAGTAGCCTTGTCAGGTAGATCTCAGACACCATCTTGCTGCCCCGGTCACCCTCTTTTTGGTCACCATGCTCATGGTTCTTCACCAAGTGCCACATCTTGACTCCACTCTCAAGGTCAGGGGTGATCATGGGTGTGCGGGAACGGAGGCTGTCTGGGCTGCCTGTGTAACGGATCATGTTTTCTGCAAAGAGAAGTGCATGTGCCTCAGTCCTAGCAGCACTCGCATTGGGATTAACAGATATCACCAAGGAAATATGTTAATGACATCACCTAATAGGAGTTTTTCATTGGATAGTCAAGAAGAAGACCTCCTCTGTCTGGGCTGGGTAGCAAGTACCTCTCCTGTTCAGTACATGGAGTGGATGCTCATACAGATTCTGGTGTGGGGCTGAGACAATCACAGCTGGTGAGTCCACCCTGCGGAGACGTTGGTTTGTGTCTCCAAAGGGGGAAGGCTGCAGCAGTACTGCGATGCCCATGCTCTCACAAGCTCCGCATTGCCACATTAGTCAAAAATAAATTTCCATCAACCAGTTTATAACATTAGGCAACACAGGTATACCTCCTGGTGGAGTTACAATGCGGCCTGCATGGACCGGGCCTTATTATCAAAGCATTATCTTACAGCTGATTTGCTCAGCAAAGACAAAGGACGTCACCCAAGCCAGACGTGATGTCAACGTCTACACTATCAAACGAGGCTCAAACATTGATGTTCAGTTGCCCATGCCCCTTTCTTCTCATAACGTTCCCTGGCAAAGCTTCGGCCTGGAACAACTAGCACTGCAGGGTCAGACATCGCCCAAGACTGGTTCAGGGGATAGTACCAGCTACTCATAGTAACCAGTATTGCATAGTACAACTTGGCTTACCTGTACAGATCTTAGCCATACCATGCCATGCTGCTTGGCATCATGGTCAGAGAACAGGCCATGGCCCTTTTGCATAGTAATATTGATGTAGCTAATGTGACATCTTGCTTACCTCTCCATCCCCCAACTTGGGAGGAGATGCTACCCCTCCCTCCTTTGGCATCAGAGCAATCCAGTAACTCCTGCCCAGCCATCCTCTTCACTCCCTGCTCCAAACCCTTGTTCTGACAGAAAGCAAACAAGAACCCCAGGTGGTCCTGCACACATTTCCTCTCTAAGGACACCTTAACCTCCAAATCTTGCCCCCCTTTGCCGATGAGTGATGGCATGAGGTGTTTCCCTCTCCCTGACCTACCAGCAATGCTGCAGATAGAGTCTTTTCCAAGCATAATTAACCCAAGACTGTTGCACCTTTCTGTCGCAAGATCTAAATCAGCCTCATTAATGCATTACCAATCTCTACGTATTAATTATCAGATGGAATATCCCTTTTTAGTCTGGATGCTGTTTTCTTAATTGCAATTAACAATCACTTCTGACCCACCATATCTTCTCCTCCCCCTGCATCCTTCCCCACTCCCTCCTCCTGAAAAATCAAATGGCAAAAGAGTTAAAGAAATCCAACAGAAACTACCCCCCCTCAAGTCTTCCTTTTCAAAGGTCATTGTGTCTTTCAGTAATTGCAACAACATGGAAAAGAGGATGAATATTAATGAAGTCTGGTGGATTGCTTACGTCCTTGGAGAAAGAGGAAGGGGAAGGGGTCTGCTCTGGACATGGAGTAACTGAACTTTCCCTCAAGCTAAAGGGAATAAGAAGGATTAAAGATGCTTTCATAAATTAAAAAAAAAAAAAATAATTAACTGATACAACAGCTGCATCCAGGCTGGAGTGTGGTTTTGGAGAGCTGTGGTTGCCATTAGAGATGTTTTGCTTTGCCCTCCAGCATCACCACAGTGAGACACGTCCTGGGCTGCAATTCTAGCGCAGGGGAGAAAGGTGTGAGATGGTGTGAGTGAGACTCAGGAGGTCTCTGTTTGGCTCTGCAGAAGAATTTCCAGCAGGTTTCTATTTCACAGCTGTCCCATTCTCAGTTGTCTCATGGGTAAAGCAGGAATAAAAATCCACTGCCTTGAGACATACTGATATAAGAACTCAGTATGCCATTGTTATTATTATTCCAGGTGCAAATTCCCTTGGGATAACAAGATAGCTGGGTGGGACCCACAACACCCACACTGAGATATAACTGTGGACAGGCTATGCCCTGCATAGACTGTGGTTGCTTGTAGTCCCAGAGGACTCCCCACCTACGCCACAGATTTGTTTTTACAACACGCCATGCTCCAAGGACCTTGTCCACCAGAATGACTGAGCTCAGTCAGTGTGCAGTGCTTCTCCCTGGGCAAACCCTGAGAGTGGGCTTCAGTGATCTAAAATGTCGGTGATTAATTATATAGGTTCCTCTGCTCATTAATGAGGGAGGAGAAGTATTTCCCAAGAGCAATCCAACCACTTGGATGAACAGCTTGGATCAGACGCCAAAGCTTTAGATGGCTAAACCCTCTCCTCCTGCCATCCCTCAACCAATCTTATCAAATAGTCATCTGCTATCAATCTCTCTGCTGGGGCTCAGTGTCTAGTAACCACCACGACGTTTGGGTCTCTTCTCCAGTGCTCTCTCAACCCATACCAGCACACAACACCTTACCATACTTGCTGGCTGACGTCCGGGAGACCGTGGAGTTGTTGACTGCATTGTAGGCAGTGACTTGCTTGGAGACTAAAGCTACCACAGATCCATCCGGCACCTGTAGAGAAAAAGGGGCTTTGTCAATAAGCTTCTGAACACTGACTGAGGAGCGTGACAAGGACAGCAGAAGATCAAGCAGCAGAAACTGATCCACAAACAGCAACACTGTAGGCAGGACAGTAGTTTTGGCCCCAAGCTTCAAATGCTTTCTTCCGTGGGTGTATTAACAAAAAAGGGACAAAATCTCCTGTTACACTGTAAGAAGACTGGACCTGGGCCAATTGGACAACTGATGACAAAGCAGACTCTGCTCCATTCACATCCTGATCCAAAGCACAGTGATGACAACGTCAGTCTTTGCATTAACTTCAGTAACGCTGACAGTAGGTTCTTCCCAAGGAAGCTCTGATGCAGGATCGGAGCACGAGAAGAATAAAATCACCCGAGCCATTCCAAACATCAAGGATGGCATGTCCCATGAGGATGATAAAACTGATAAGAAATTTTCTATTCATTCTGCTTTGACTGCAGGTGATATGTAGGTACCGAGCTCAGAAATGGATATCTACATTTTCCACTTTGATCCTGTCAACCTCTCCATGTAGAGTCTCCCCCTTCCACGTGACAGATGCACTGCTGGACCGAAGTGGCCACCACAACTTCCTTCTCTTTGCTGTGTCAGAGGGTCTCAGACAGGGGAAAGCAGCAGGTTTGGAGTGGCTGTGCTCCAGGATGTCATGGGATAGTGTTTCAATAGACAACAGAGCTTTCTGAAACAAGCCAGACTTTCCATTTCTACGGCTAGGTGATTCATGAGGGTCCTGTATCAGAAATGTTAACAAGCCAGTGGCTCAGATGAGCCGTATCAGGAATATCTGTGATAAATAAGACATCATAAAAAGGAGATGGGTGAAAAAAAAAAAAAACCTGCTAACAACATCTAACTCTTGTCTGTGTAATAACAATAATTAGCACTTGCATAGAGTTTTTCATCTTCAAAGCACTGCAGAGGCTAATTAAATAGCCCCTCAGCAATCACGGAAGGCAACTATTGGATCTTTGTAGTTTTAGCTCACTCTACAAATGGGGAAACTGAGGCAACAGTGTCCATCTCAGCATGTCCTATGTCTGCCCTCAGGATAGCCAGGGTAAATGATGCAGAGCTCAACACCCTGGCAGCAAAGAACTGTTCTGCCCCTGCTATTTCATATAGCTGGGAGCTCATTGCCTGAAGCAAACAACTGGAAAAAGGACAGAAGGAAAGGAAAATTATGCCAGGTTTGTTGGTGAAATGAAATAGAAAACATCCCTGCTCCTTCTGAAAAAAAGTGTTCTGGAGTCAGCCAGCAATGCTTCAGTCAATCTGAAGTGAAAAGTTTTGTTTCCTTTTCAAATTATTGCTTGCTGCCTCCTCAGGTCAGCTCTCAAATAAAAAACCAGCTTGTTATGAAACATAGATTGCTAAGGTGTGATTGAGGAAATGACAAAATTGCCAGCATCAGATTAAACTTAATGAGGTGCTTTTTATTTTTTTGGGGGCAAAGATGGAAAGGAGTAGGAGGAGCTTTTGACCAAAACTTCATTTTTTCATGAAAACTATCACTGGTGTAAGATACTTCTGTACATCTTTAGCCCTTTCTTATGGATCTCAAGGTCATTCAGAGATGGATGTGACCAGGGTGGATGTATTCAACACAGAGGCTCTGCCCAGTTATTGCCCACTCTACCATCTTAGAGAACAGCACTTAGTCCTTCTCCTTCTAACTTTCGTAGCTGATCTACCTTCTACCTACCCATCCTCTCACACAGTTACCTGATAGTGTGCCAGCGTGTTGAGTCTCTTCCAGTCATTCTCTATCTTGGTTGTGATGTCTTCATCCTGAAGGATCATTCTTGCCCCACTTGCTTGCCGCCACTCTGCAAGGAAAACAGGGACACTGAACTCTGCTGGGCAGAGCCTCTCTCAGAGCCCTGGCAATCCTTGTGCTCAAAACCCATATGGTGACACACACACCGGCTGCATCCGTGTAGCAGCATGTCAGTCACTGCCATTAGCTCAGTCGGATGCCTCCAACCGCGTACAATATACAAATGCACAAATGTCCAGAGTCTTCTTTCCAGTGGGAAAGAGAAGACAGATGAACCATTAAAAGTGCAGGAAAGTATGCAAAAATCATAGCCATGTGGTAAAGCCCTGAGTCAAGTTCTAGGTTACCCAGGCTGGCTTCTTTACTCTTGATAAAATGATATTGCTATCACAAAACACCTTTTGCACAAGAAACATCCAACCCCTTAAAGAGTGACACCATAATGAGATCAGAACATAGAGCAGTTGCTTGAAGAGATGGGAGGTCCGAGGCAAGGGCACAGCAGCATGCGGTGGTGAGCAATATACTGATAAATAAAGCAAAGACAGCTGTTGATCCACTGGCAAAGCTGAACAGGGCAAGGCCTGTTGCTTTAGCACCCTGATTATTCACAGAGCTTAACTTTTTGCTTACATCCTGGCTCTGTTCTTGCTCCAACGTGGCTGTTTCCAAGGCCAATCTTTCCTTGAGTATGTGAGCCATCACCACGGGACAGGAGCAAATAAATGTTGTGTCAGGCATAGAAATTCATCCCTGGTCCTCTTTCCTTTATCAGCATAGACACAGCCTTTATTGACACCTGACGTGTCAGGTATTGACAAATCAGGAATGGGTTTAAACTGAAAGAGGGTAGGTTAGATTAGACACCAGGAAGAAATTCTTCCTGGAGAGGGTGGTGAAGCACTGGGACAGGTTGCCCAGAGAAGCTGTGGATGCCCCATCCCTGGAATTGTTCAAGGCCAGGCTGGATGAGGCTTGGAGCAACCTGGTCTAGTGGAAGGTGTCCCTGCCCATAGCAGGGGGGTTGGAACTGGATGGTCTTTAAGGTCCCTTCGAAACCCAAACCATTCTGATATGTCTAACTGCCAAGACCTAGCCACAGAGAGGGCTCCCAGGGGCAAAACAGTGTCTTGTTCAGCACAGGACCAGACCCTGTAGTGGGCTCAGTTCATCTTTAGTACTCACACAACAATTCTTGCTACTCAAAACTAGAAATGATGGAGAGCAGGAAGCCCTTAGCTTTGGTCACAGCACTGGCATAATGAGAAGAGCCAGAGAGAGAACCAACACCCTGATCCATGGAGGATGTAATCTCTACAAGCCCTCAGCAGCAGGCCTGTGGGCAGAAGGGCTCTGGTTTCTGACCACATACAGTTCTCCAGCCTCCACCCCAAAATGTTCAATACATTTCTCCTTCTGCAGGACTGCAGAAGTGATGGGGAGCACCCCATCACTACTCAAATCCTGAAGGATGGTCCATGTGGAGGATTGTCACAGCTTTCCCCACAGAGGACTCACAGACTTGCCTATAGGCAAGGAACATGTAATCATGGCTAAAAGGAGAGAAATATAATATCACCTGGTGACACCAGGGAAAGCTGTGGCTTAAGCACAGACAACCTGGATCATCCAAAGCTTCCTTTTTGGTTGACATGTCTCAGTCACATACAGTTTAGGCTGAGCCAACGCAGAAAGTCTGTTCATTTGAGGGAGTTAATTAAAACGAACTCTAGGATATGGAGACATCACCTGCCACTCCTGCTTATTTCTCCTAATATAAAAATGCAAGGACCGTTGCAAATTTCTTTTGGTTTCAGCAGTTTTCTTATCACATAATTAAAATGTATTGGGAAAGCTGCCCTTGCCTTTATTATTCATTTAAATTAGCAGGAAGAGGTCAGCCGCTGTGTTTATTGCTGGGTGTTACTTTGGCTGGAGATACTGAGAGTAAGCAAAGGTTATGTTGGCTACGCACTGATTCTGAACCGCCTTTCATGTACTCCAGCTCCTTAGATCCTCACCTACATTATCCCTGTGATGGTCTCTGTTCATTCCCAACTGGACCAGATTCCTGGAAGGTAACTGGTCCTAGATATTGCTTGGGAGAGCACAAAATGCTGAAGTTTGGGCTGGGCAATGGTGGTCTTACAAAGTTCCCCACAGAGTGTGTCTATGTGCCTTCCTCATGGTCTCTCATGGACAATGTCTCTTTGTCCTCTTTCCTTCAGGGCTCTGTGTGTTCTTATGGTTTTCCTCTCCTGATTCATCTTTGGGGAGGGACACACAGGTTCTCAGCGTTGCACCTGGCTCTGATATGAAGGGTATGCACCATTCCTTATCCTGTGCTTTATTCAAGGTCCCCAGAGCACCAAAAGCTTTCCCTCTGCTCCAGGGAGATGAAGACATGGTGGGATGTGCCCTCAAGCCCTCTGTGCTCATACAGAGACACAGGGGATTACCAGGCCCTTCCCCGTGGCCTTCCTGCAGAAAAGGGACACCTAAGGAAGAGAAAGGGTCAGTTTGACTGCACAAGGCCCACTCATGAAACAGACAAGGGGGAAAACACCCTGCAGGGCAGGCTCAGAGCATCTCGCTTCACTTTTGCAGCCCATTCACCCTGACCAAACACTCTGTCATGCATCTGAGCAATGACAGGGAAAGGACCCCCAGCTGTGGTCCCCCAACTCTTCCTAGTCTCACAGGAGCATGCTCCCCTTCTCCACAGTCACCCACTGACCTGCAAGGAAATGCAATGGCTGGGAGCAAGGGAATGAGGGGGCGGGGGGTACAAAGGAGGAAAAGGTGACCCTCACATCCATATTCACAGCACTAAGTAAAAAGAGTTAGCTTTGTCCTCGCTGGCAGCATCCTGTCCCCTCTCTCATCACGCACTCCTCCGTGAGCCAGCACAAAGGAGAGACAGACTCCAATCCAATTTGTTACACTTCCACCTTCCAGAGAGAGGGAGGGAAAGGGGAGGGAGGTAAAAAATCCCATTATCTTTATCAAGCCTTCCAATCAGGAGCAGCGGTAAATGCAAACTCAGGAGAGACAGCTGCTGTGAAGCCTTTATATTTCATTCAGCAGATAGTGTATCTTTTTATTGCACGCAAGAATTACTTCTCTTTTTTTTCCTTTTTCTTTTTTTTTTTTTTCCTAAGAAACAACCTTTCTGTTCAACTTGACTGGGAAAAAGGAAATTCCAGGGACCTTTCATGAAGAGGTGCTTCTTTGAGCTGTAGCAATATCTGGCTAGGGAATGAATCTATGGGGAGATGGGAGGCGTCCTCCTCCACCTCAAATCCTGTAGAAAATATTACACCTCCCTTGTGCCTTCTCTCTGATACAGGTCTCCCTAAGCATGCCCAATAAATAGGGGAGAAAAGTGCAGCAGAGAGATTTTTCAGGGGCAACTGAAATACCCAGGTGGATGTAAAACCTTCCAGCTCACCTCCAGACGACTTCATCTGAGATAGTTATCATCAGTTACCCCATCTTTAAAGGCACTTCCAGATCATGATGCACACAATCCATTTCAGTCAACTGTTCATGCTGTACACTGTGCTTCCGACCTTTTTCCTAAAGACATTGAGCCTCCCCATGAAGGACTGTGGGATGGTTTGTGGCTGACTGTGCACAGTGATGGCACATGGAACAAATGCATGTGGCTTACCCAGGTTTGATGCTTATTTTGTGATCATGTGTGCTCATGAAGGATTAGTCTGAAAAGCTGGTGGGCTGCCTTTAGTTCTATAAGTATTTTTTCACTTCCCAATAATTTCCACCTGAGAGTGAGATTGGCATAGGAAATTGGACAATAAACCCTTTGTCTGTATGCTGCAGGCACCAGTACAATCAGATGAGTAGGAAACAAAAATGGATAATTGTCTAGTATGAGATGACCTCTAGGAAGAGGGGAGAAACTCAGCTCTGCTATTGGGGTGGAGAAAGGAACACTGTGGCTGGGGAAAAAAATTCAAATGAGAACACATAGATGGAAGATACCTGGGAAATATTTCATCCTGTATATGCCAGTTGTCTGCTGTATTGTATACATACTAGAGTTAGACCCAGGTTAAATGGCTCCTAAAGGAGTGCAGTACTGCGCCGTTGATGAAGCAGTGAAAGCTTGCCCTGACCTGATCCACAACGAGCCTGAGACAGCATCACTGACTGCAAGGTAGTCAACCCAGCAGCTCCCATCACCTCAGCAATCCACTTCAAAAAGCAACTGAAACACAGGGAAGAGTGAATACCTCAGCATGAAGCCAAATTCCTGTTTTGTGATCCTTACCCTCTAATGATTTCCCAAAGATGGGGTATTTTATTTATGGTGAGGGGCTTTAAAAAATAATAACAACAAAAATAGCCACTGCAGAAAGAAGCCTTGACTCAGAGGGCTGCAATTTGGGTTTGGACTAAAATGTAACCTCAGGGTGTCCAAAATAAGTGCTTTCAGCTGACAACCCCCTCCCTGAGTTGTCTGGGTAACTGCAAAACATTATGACATTTGCAACACATACAAGTCACTCTGCCTGCAGCTACCCTGCATTTAACAACTCAAAATAACTCATTAGCTTGTTTGCTTTCTTCCATGTGAGCAATCTGGCCTTAGCATGGACAGAAAGCCCAGAAAATTGTAATGGTAATAGAAAATGGTGTTGCTGCTTAGAAAACCATCGATTTCAAGGCCAGATTATAGTCACCTGCTCTGACCTACTGCTTAGCATGGACTGGCAGGGCTCATCCAGCCACCTTTGCAATTTGGAGTGTTCAGGTTGGGGCAGGTTGATCCCAAGAGCTCTGTGCTTCTTTCTAGTGGCCAACGGTGTTTTCTGTTCTCCCCGTGCTGCCTTCTCTGTCACCAAAGGATGCCAGGTGCCAACAAGCACCTTTTCCTGCTAAGAGGCTGGGCTGGAGATGTGGCTAGACGTGCACATCCTCTTGTTCCTGCTTCACCCATGCCAGCCCTGCTCCTCCCACCTTGTTAGCTGCTGTGCTCAAGGAGCCTGCAACTATATTGATGCTGGAAAAGACCCTTCTACTAGATGAAGGATTTTCTTTGTGTTTTGTTTGTGGGTTTTCCCCCCCCGCCCCCCCAAACTGCAGCATCAATGCTATTGGCCAAACAGCTGATCATTAAGCAGTCTCCTGTCAGCATGGACAGGTCTGGCCTCTGAGGGGTGCAGACTCTCAAGTACTTTCTGCAACTTGCTGGTCCTCAGCATCACTCAGCAGGTCAATATTTCTTGAAAAAGCAACAGACCTGGATGCAAAATTGTCAGGCTCCAGCTAGAATCCTGCACACACACGCTTCTGTATCTGCCAGTTGTCAGAGCCACAGTAAAATCTGTGGACTCTAATTTATCCTTGGTATCTGCAACACTCGGGTAAAACTCCTGCCTCCCATTATGGGCGCATCATTCATCCCCACATCAGAACAAACTACTTTCTGCTCACACCCAGTCCGAGATCAGGATGTGATGGGCTCTGTGGCCACCACCCAGCACCAGGCAGGTCACGCGATCTGGCTGTCAACCCCACTTCTCCATTCCGCTGTGCCCTGGCACCCTGCCCTCACCATTCTCCTGCTGACTCACAGCAGCTCCAAAATCATCTTGAGTCCTTTCTTGATGATGTATATGATCTGTTCTTTATTGCTGCTGGTTTTGGCAGCTTGTTTCATTATTCTAACAGACTTTCATGAGCAGGAATCTTGCTGCAATTTCTGTCAGGAATCCCCTCCTCCCCTACACATACACACACACATATAGACACTTAACTTTAATGCCTGACCTCTTGTTCCTGCCTCCATTATTGCTGTGAAGTTTTTCTTGGCGTCAGTCCATTCCTTCTCCTTGTGCTTCCTCTTCTACTTTGTTAGGTTTTATAGACTCCATCATTTTCCTCTCAAGTCTCTTTCACTGAAGGTCACTGATGGCAAATACTGGCAGATACAGCCACAGTACAGTCCCCAGCTCCCTACCAGGCACCTCAGCAATGCTCTGAGCAGATTCTTCCACGGTCTTTCATAGCAGCCTCCAGATGTAGTATCACATCTGCCTCTGGACCCCAACTTCAGACATCTCACTCCTCCCAGCATCCTTGCACCAGATTTTGGGCAGAAATGGATTTTCGCCTCAGAGGCACCCATGTACTGGGCTGTACAGCTCCCTGTGTGCCCCACAGATCAAAGGCACAACTGCCTAGAAATGCAGGTGAAGTTGGTGCAGCTTTTTCCACCCTCCAAGCAGAGCAATGCACAAAGAGGCAAACCACTGAGAAAGAACCCCATGAATACATTAACAGAGGCACTAATCTTTCCTTAAGACCTCCTAGTCCCCTGCAGAAAGGAAACCTCACAGCAGCAGCTCCCAGCCCCGCGCTTGGTGGTGGGGTGCTGGCAGGAGTGGGAAGCAGTCAGGGGTGAGACAGATGCAGCCCACTGAACGAAGGATGCTTCATCCCCTTTCCTGTGCCCTCACAATGAGTAATTAATACTGCTTGGGCTGTGACTATCTCAGCCAGAAGATACATATAATCCAAACCCTCACTATTCAGAGAAGAGCCAGGAAAAAATCTCTGCAGTCTGAACACTGCTGACATCATCACCCTGGTACTCTTTTTCCAGGGGTCTTTGGCAGAACAGTGAAAGTAGCCCCTGTCATTCCTTTTCCATACCTTTGTCCAAGCTGAATTCTGTGGACAGAAAAACAGGATGGCTACTGGTCTTTTTAAGTCATCATGACCAAAGTTTTCCTAAGGCAGGAGCATATGCATTAACTTAATCGCTCTCTTCTGCCCTCTCACCACTGCTGCTGCCCTGCCTTGCATAAGCACCAAGGGTACACCCAGTCCGGAAACATGGCACTTGACCCAACAAACAGTGTCTAGATCGCCTTTGGCTGTTTCCCACCTCCCCTCTCCCCCCCCCAGCCTGGGGGCATTCAGGAGGCCGTTGTGCACTCACATACCCAAGTCCATATCAGCAGCTTTGGGCCGGTGGGAGCAGGGCACGTTCTTGAAGATGGCGTCGAGGATCTTCTCCTTGACCTGTGTGATGGTGTCACAGTTCAGGATCTTCACTGGGATCTCAGGGCTGTTCACGTTGTCGGGGTTCACGCAGCTCAGGACCTGAGAGAGAGGCAATGAGTCCTACTGTGCATTTCAGTGGCACGGTTACCCTACGGCCACCCTTCCTCAGCCACCTTTTTACAGGTCCCCCTGTCCTACAAGCCAGGGAAATCTAGGGTGCAATAATGGAGAAAATGTGCACCGAGTATTCCCTCTTCTGAGAGGGCACAGAGATCTGGTTTCACAGAGACTGCATACATCACCCCTGTGCTGCGCTCAAGCCATACCACTGTCTATGCCCAGTGAATTAAGGGGAACTCAGGATTTGGCTCTCAGCTACGTGCTGTGGCCCTCCAGATGTTGCACCCAGAGACTTGGGGCTGATGTGAAGGTTTTCCTCAATTTGTATCTCATGCCACTTGTCTCTGTGAGGTGAAACTACGATACCTGTGAGAACAGCCTGTGAGACTGGAGGCTCATCTCCTTGTCATCTTCACCACACTTAATAACAGAATCCATGAATGGCAGCTCAGGTTCTGGTGCTTCAGTAAAAACAACATTCACCCAAATGGTACCAGACAACGGCCATCAACACATTCTTCACAGAAACAACTAAATATGCAATCAGACCTGACCCTGGTTGGAGCTGAGCTGCTATCCAAAGGGCTCTCCAAATCTTTCCTTGGCCTCTGACCCAGGCCATGACCCCCAGAGAGCTGGCAAGGTGACCTGATTCAGTAGTCCCCTCCTTGCATTGCCACCTGACTTTGACAACTTGGGTCAAAGTGCTCTTCAGTCTCTCAGACTTAAGTTTGTGCAGCTTCTGCACAGCCACAGGACAGATCAAGACCCTTCTCAGGAAAATGATACTAATTTGAAATGCAAAGTTTCTTAAAAAAAAATAAACACAAAATGACAACAATGAAAACTTTTACTTTCACATGTAGAACAAGAACATTGACCCAAGGAGAGAGGACCCTCATTTTTCAGAAGAACAGAATTTTCTCCAAAGACTCTGTCCAAGAGTAAATGCAAAGCATATGGAGTGGTGAGAGAGGGAGGGACACCTTAAGACACGCACAGGGTTTAACAGCAATCTGCCCGCTAACTCTTGGCCATATCTACCTTGAGCATTCTGCTCTCCTCTGGTTTCAGGAGCGTGAAGTCTATAAACTTTTACAAGCTTAGCACATGTCTGCACTAGGAAGGGGTGTTCAGTGAGACTCCTGCCTATACACGGTCATTAAATGTTCCTGTGCCACTTTATCAGTGCAGACATGTTAGTTTTGATACCTTATATGAATCCTACCTCAACTGTAAATTCCCTTCTGTAGTACACAGTAGGCACTGGACTCTCCATCACTTTCCATCATAACCTACTAAGATGCAGTGGGATCTCAGAGTGGGTTGAAACTGGGTGAAATCATATCAGTATAATTATATATTGGCTCACCAGGCTCCCTTTGGTGCTGTTATGCTCATCTAAGAGGGACTTGTGAAGATACTGCTTACAAAGAGCTCTGTGATCTTTCTGGATGAAAGGGGAGATGTAAATATGAGATATTGATTAGATCATAATGCTATTATTTATATGTCACGTCCTGGAGTATTGAAGAAGCATCAATTCACATAATAATAACAATGGCACAGATTTACAGTTCTGTGGCATCTTTCATCTCAAAGGATCACAGAACTTTGCATAAAAAGCACTGCTGAAATGAATCCAGTGTTGAGGTTATTAGCTGCCCCTCTCTCATTACACATCTGTATTTTTTTTTAGGGTAGGACAGCTCTTTTGAGTGTTACGGGTGTTGCACATAGTTCTGGAGACCAAGTGGGGCAGAACTAGCAAGGTGTATGAAGAGGAGAGGAGACTTCAGTGTCACTTAAGGAGATGATGAACATTTTGCCACTGAGAGGACACCAGTGCTTGGCACTGCTTCTCTGTCATGTGTTGAGGTCTGTGTCAGCGTAGTGTAAACCCCCCCATGGCAGGGGCTTGGAACTAGATGATCTTTAAGGTCCCTTCCAACCCAAACCATTCTATGATTCTGTGATAGCACCAGCTGTGGGGTCAACATGGAAGGGTGTGGAACTGGGAGTCAGTGGAGTAGTAATCTCCAAGCCCTACTCTCCCACTGACAGTGTGTGATCCTGGGGCATGTCATGTTGCCGGATTAGTGTTTACAGACCTTTTTCTATATCCTAGGGGTTTTTTTGTTTGCCAGCCCTTCCAGCCATGAGCTGTCTCTAAGTGTACATACACATGCAATGCTTACCACAGCTAAGCCTTTATCTCCACTACCGATTACTGGCATTTAAATAATAAAGGCACAGCTAGTGATTACTTGTATGGGGACCCTGGCTCTGAGTTCTCTGCAGCCTTTGAGTGGTCTATTCTGAGACCAGGACATCGCTATGGTTTCTGCCCTGGAGACGGACATCTTTGTGGATTGGGCTAAGGAAGGTCCAAGGTGGCTAGCACTAAGTGAGGCTTGGCAGTGAGCAAGGAGGTGAAAGACCCCCAAAGAGGCCAAGCATGGGAGAGCCTTTCTATCTTGGTAGGGGCTTCCTCCCTGCCACCAAAATTCCCTGAAAAGCCTTAACCAAAGGCAGTTCAAAGCATCTTTATCCATCTGGAATATGTTGTCAGGAGAGATGATCCAATTAGGCTCTCAGCACTGGAGCCGCCGAGGTGTGCAGGGACCACACAGAGCATGTCACTACTCAAGATGCACTGGCCAGCTCCTGCCTACCACCCCCAAGCACTAATTAACCAATACTCTTGACAGCTTCCGACACACATCGAGGACTTTTCTCCCTTGCATTATTTGTATCAACAGAAATGAAGCTGACAGAGGAGATGGATGGTCTTTCGTCTACCAGAGACAGCAGAGCAGTGGCATTAGGGAGCAAGGTTTTGCATGTACACTCTGATTTGGTGAATGGCTAAAAAATCATGGATTCTGGCAAAGGCAGATGGCAGTCAGCAGGGATGAGATCTTCCTGTCTCTCACAGATGGAATAATCTAGCTGGGTTTTTAATAACGCTGCAGACCAGAGGTGATGAGCACTGACTACTAGCAAAGACATTAACACAAGAGGGTGTTTCTCAGAGGTATACAGCTTGGGAGAAGACCCACTGTTTACTTGCAGCCCATTTATTCTAGCAAATCACGTCTGTAACTAGCGTAGTTTCTACTGTACTGAAAAATTCCATGTAAGAACAGAAATTGATATAGACTGCAAAGACTTTAGGACATTGAGGCTGCTTCCTTGGAGAACTGTAGGACCTGGCAGACAGCAAATCAGAGCTATATGGTTTGGAAAGAAATCAGACCGAAACAATCTAAATTTAGTGAATGAGACGTATATTGTAAAATCAGCAATTCCAGATGTCTGGAAGTGCTCTGTCTTCTTTTTTCTCCTTGGATAAGTCAGTTTCTTTGGATCTGCTCTTCACTCAAACCACATTTGAAACTGTGACTTTAAATATTTGGTCATGATTAATGAAGGCTACAGAATAAATGCCTTCCAAGAGAAGCCACGGCCTTGTCTTCCTGGAATAATGACAATAAACCGCCTGTTTCAATGTGCTATGCTGCTGGAATTGTGATTTAACTTAGTCAAGCAGTCATCTAGCACTCATGAAATGTGAACAACCCAATGAATTTTAGCCACACACAGTGCAAATTCACAGCAGTGACCACGTACATTTGGTGGAGAACAGGAGATGCTGAGGGAATTCCTGTTTCACAAAGACTGAATCAGTTCTTGCTTTATTTCATTACTATATATATTAATAAAAGATGACAGACTGCTTAAGGAAGGTAGAGGAAGGACAAAATAAAACAGAAATTAAGCGAAAAAGAAAGGAAGAACAATCCTATTCGTATTCTGCTTCTTAATCTCCTTCACCAAAGCTGATCTCTGTAAATCTGCTGAGATTCCTATCGGGATATATTTGTCTGCTCTTGAGATGTAAGAGGGAGAGCTGATTAACATCAAAAGACACATAGCAAATGGAGGACAGCTTTGTTCAGGATGATGTCTAATTACTACCCTTTAGGCTGCTTTATAGCAAGCCTAAAAGGATCGGAGGGATTTCCTTTTGTGAAAGCGATCACTCTGTGTCTGCGTTTTTCTTCCTTCTTCACTCTCTCCATGTGAGATCAGGCCTCCAAACTGCTAGACAACCACATGTAACAGAAAAGAAGCACTACGCTGCGGATTTAATAGGAAAGTCACGTTTTTAATATGCAAAATAAAGTTGTGGTCTCATTTAAGAATAAAGTCTACCCCCTCAACAGACTTAGATTCAACCAAAGCTCAGCTCCAGACTGGCTGTAGTTACTGAAGAAGAGCAGGCGTTTCTAACGTCAGCCCACCTGAGCTATGATCTAAGACCGATCCAGCAACTAACACTGACTGGACGCAATCTCAAAGCAAGTAAAGTTAAGTGAGATGAATGTTGCTCAACTGAAGGTGCAAATAAAATAATCTGATAACTTCAGAGAATCTTCTGACCATCCTAAAATTTGGGGTTGGGGTTTTCAAGAACAAAGACATGGGAAATAAATTACAAGGGTCATTGAAGACTTGGAAAGTGTTCTTCATAGAGTGGTTTGGGTTGGAAGGGACCTTAAAGATCATCTAGTTCCAACCCCCATCCTGCAAAGACACAGAAGCTCGGTAGTCTTAGTGTATCCAGGAAAAAGTGGAGGCCCACAAAATCTTACACTAAGAAAGAGATATCTAATGCTCTTTAATGAAGTGGAAAGGGTGTAATCTTAGAGTAGAAGCTAAAGCTGGACATATGCAATGTATATCTTTCACCATACAGACAATTACATCTTGAAACAAATGACTGTGTGACAAGGATTAATTTTCTTTCCCTTGAAATCTTTAAATCAAGTTCAGTTTTCTTTGACTTGTGCTTGCTCAAGAGGAATGGTTGCATTAGCCCTGGAGAAGATCTAATAGGTCGCTCCACTATGTGCCTCTAACATATTCCTTGATGCTGAAATCTTTTATTGGAGTATTGGTTACAACTTGCAGTGACAACTCCACCTTTCTGCTGTAGGAAGACCTTTGACTTACAACTCTGAGGGATGTTGGAAGGGTAGGCATCCAGGGAAAAGGGGTAGATATTAGGAAGTATTTTGTCTAACAGAACGGCTTAAATTGTCCGCATCTATTGTCTTCACATTCACAGACATATTCATGATACAAGGTTCGCACTTGTCTTCCAGTGCTCCCGGACGTCCCCTAATCCAAGCAATTGACACTGTCAGCCTATGCTGCAATGAGTAAAGATGCCTTCAGAAAACAGGCAATGGTTTGGGAAGCTGGGGATGCTCTGGGCATAGGGCTGGGCACAATGGAAGTAACCTGGAACCAGCCTTCTTTGCAAACATGCTTTGCAAGCAGATGCTTCAGCTACACACCTGGCTGTGTTAGGGGACAAGACTGGTCAGTCTTCAGCAAGTTTAGCTGCTGGGGTGCAAGAATAAATTGTCTATGAGGGTCAATACAGAGAACCAGCACAGCCCATCAATGGCTCCTTTTCTCTAAATCCCCTTTTGTTAGAAGATGCTGGAGAAGCCCATAGGAAGGTGTGCCCAGAGCACTCACCAGTGTCTTGTAGTCAATCTGCTGTCGGATAAGCTTGTCCTCACTCAGTGAGTACCGGGCCTCCCCAGTGATCGAGTCAATGGGACCCTTTTCCATCTGCTGCTTGATGGCACAGAAAAGGGAGAACAGAGGTTCACCAGCACACTCCTGCAGGGATGAGAGACAATCAGAGGTGAAACAGGAGAGCAGAGGTGAGAACCCAACCTACATCGCATCTCAGTAACTGCCACTGCTTGACATTCCCAACCACTCGAGACAGATGCATCAGTGGGAATCAATCTGTTCCATACAGCCTGGGAATAGAGGTGACCCTCCACTTCCACGGAGTGCAACCAGCCCTCTCAAGTGTCCTGTCATGGGACAAAGGTGTCAGTGCTCCCTGGCAATGTTGGGGCTAGCAGAGCCTTGTAGGAGCTGATCAAGTGCTTGCCACCAGGCCAGAGCTTTGCACTGGAGCAGGTGGTGGAATGGGTCCCAGAGGACCTGGAGACAGGTCTGAGAGCCAGATGGCTGGCGCCCCATCCCGGGTATCTGGGCAGAGTCCACATTCTTCCTCAGCAATCTCATGCTGGGGGTAAATAGGGATGCTAAGGCAGGAGCAGCTCCATGACAGAGGGTAGATGTGTCCCTGGATCTGTACGGTGGCATGGGTGATGTCGGATGTGTGGGGCCCAGCATAAGATAGCAACAAGCAGCCCCCAAGCAGGGCCAGCAAAGCACACCTCTCCCTAATTGCTCTTTCCCATCATTCACACTCACTGCCCTCCTCTTCCCACACTTACAGCCTCTCTTCCCTTGCTGCCCTCGCTCTGTACATTTGCTGCCACACACCCCTCCTCATGCTTTCCTCTATTCCTTCTTTTCCCCTTCACCTCTCCATCCTTCCTCCCCTCCTCACCTTGCCCTCTCCTCTTGCAGTGTGTCCCAACTCAACGAGTGAGGTCACTTTCCTCTGGTGTAAATCCCAGCAAGAACAAGTTAATAATCTGAAGCAAAGTGGCCCCTTTCTCAGTCCCTACACCTGTCTCCCACTTAATTAGCTTATCTGCCAGCAGCATATTGCTTCTGTGTGCCTGTCTCTTGCCCTTATCAGGCCTCTGTTCAGGCTAAGGCAAGAAGACAAGTAGCTGAGTGGGGTGAAAAAAGCCTATTATAAAAGCAGCTCTTTAGAGAGTCACCTCCTTATATCCTTTCCTTTCAGCTAAAAGCAGGAATCTGATACTGAAGTCACTGAAATTACCTTCCAGGGACCTTCAAAACTTTCCCATGCGTTCATCCCTGGAACGATTGTGGCTGCAGAAGGCTCAGGGGAATGGGACTGATTTGTAAAGCCTTGACTCGCCAGGCAGAGGGTGGCTATTCTGTGCAAACAGGGAAAAGGCTGGCTCTGAGTTTGGTGCCTTGGCAAGTAGAATGCCTGAGGCTCAGCGTGGGTCCTCAAGAGGAAACTGCCATCACCCAGCAGTCAGTGGCAGGTCTCAAGGCAGAAAGACTCTTATTTACTACACAGCACCCCAAGAAGACCCTCCAGGAGGAACTAAAGGGCTCAGGGGGTATCTCCAGTCCTTTCACTCCTTCACTGATGTCCTGCAAAGCCAGTGCTGTCTCTCAGTGGGATACAAAGCAGCAACAGGCTCAGACTGTGCTGGGTTATGGATGCAGCAGTCAGGTCTACATGGTGTATTGTGTCCAGCTCTCTGTACTCAGAGGGTGCGTGGCCATACCCAGAGCAGGTTTGAGGTAGCCTTATGCCAAGAAAAGCCTGGGCTCAGCCCTAAATTAAACTAAGAAGGGAGCTGGTTATAGTAAAGCAGGTTAAAGATGATGGAGGCACTGTGCTTGAGTACTGCCTCTGAACTGGGGTGGTGGAGGCCTCCAGCCACTATGTACTGAAAAATATGGGTTACGATGTGATGGAGACCTGAGTCTACTGGCAAAAGGAGACCACTTTCAAAATAGGTCTCCACCAGGCTCTGAAATCCTTCACGACTCAGCACTGGCCCTTAGATTCCACCTCTGTACAGGAGTAAGACCAACAGGCTGCTTCTCTAACAAAGCACCCTTTTTTGTTCTCCCTGGATCAGAAAATAGCGCTCTCCCATTAGGCAGTGACCTTCCTCCTGAGAAAAAAAAAAAAAGCCTTTCCTTTATATCCAGGAAGTTTTTGCCCCAACTAAACCTCACCAAGAAGAAATGTATTAAAGTATCTGTTCATCCAGGCATGCTGCTCCTCTTACCTTGAGGAACTTGTACAGAAGGAAGGTGAACCAGTTGGTGAGCATTTTCTCAGCCACAGACTCTGTCCTAAAATCAGCCAGGGAGAAAAAGCAAATTGAAAATGAGTTAGTCATGCTGGTTATATCAAGGGAGTCGTCAAAAGATTGGCTTTGCACATCTTATTGCCCAGATCTCTGACCCCATGGAAAGTCTGGCACAACATCACGATTAAGGATGTCCTAAGTTCTCTGGTTTAGCTCTGCATTTAGGAAACCTGCAGGCAAATCCCTACCCCTCTGTTGACTCTCCTGTGACTAGGGAAATCCCTGTCTGTCTGTTTCTCAGTTTCTCCATCAAGGAAAGGGAAATGACAACATTTGAGGGAACCTTCTCACAGGAGCTCAGGGAGAATAAATTCATCAAACATGAGAAGCTCAGAGTTAGGACATATGACAAGCATGCTATATAAATCCTTAAGACAGACAGATCTAAATCACCAGAGAATAGTTATCTGGCACCGATTATCTCCCTGGCATTTGGGAGTGATTATACTTTTCAATGTGTCAATGTGGTGCATTCACACAGCTCATCCTTTTGCCCTTGAATGCTCTGTCCTCAACCAAACAAAAATTTCAAGCCTTCAGGGTGAACTTTTCCTACAGAAGGACTGACTCAGACCTGTAAATATTGTGTGGACACCAGGAGCACAGAATAAATCTGTGTTTACCCCAGTATGCACACTGATGTTGCTGAAGAATGCTGAAGAATAAAGCAAGAGCCCCTGCCTGGATGAGTAAAAGTGGGGTTTCCTTGTCTTCCAGAGACAATAGCCGAGACAAGGCTCCTGGGTTCTTCTTAGGGCTGCAGCTTGATTTTTGGGTTCCCTAGTTCTCTGGCATAAAGTTGATCTTGCTTTCTCTGGAGCACAGGACTTGCAAGAAGGGTTTGCATCACTGGAGCTGTATGCTCCAAACCTGCCAGTGACGCTGCCTGAAAACAGTGCCCTGTTACACCATCCCAGAACAAGTGACGGTCCCTTTCCTAGATAAATGCAGTTGATCTTTAGCCTTGTTTCCATAGGGATTTCTCTTTTCCCATGGGCACATCTCACTTAGATGGTGGGGGAAGAAATGGCAATAGGGGTGTTTCTTGTCACTTCTTTTGCCTGAAACCAGTGAAAGAGGTGATATGATCCCAGTTTGCCACCAGATTAATGCTGTATTTTCTTTGACTACAGTGATCACTGCTGTCCAGACTGTCTGCTCTGTATTCCCCTTGGACAGTGCCAGCTAGCTGCTGTCCTCCGTTGCTCACGGTATGATATTCAAGCCTGGCAATCCCCATGCAGATCATGGTCTGACCTCCTCGCAGGGAATGACACCCAGAGAAGCGCTCTTTCTGATGCTCCTTGGTGTGACACCTGGGACCCATCGCAAGGTGCAAACTTGGCATTACCATGAGGAAAAGAACTGAAACCCCATTGTGTTCTTGTTCTCTGCCCTGATAACTTTGATCTCTTTGAGGCTGTAGATGTCATGTGGAATGAAGATGGGGTGGGAAAATCATTCCAGACAACTCTTTCCTCCTGTCAAATACCCCCAGAACCCAACACTGCAGAAGGACGTTGGAAGATACCCTTCCATCCACGGAGTCACGGGGGGGGGAAGGGAAGCATCAAACTGAATTCAGCTGCCCCAACTAATTGTCTGGAGTCCCCACACCAACATCTGAATCCGACAGCACTGAGCTATTCACATGTTCATCAGTAGATTCTGTTCTGGTGCTTCTCAGTGTAGGATCCCAATCTCAGAGAACAAACCACATCTCTGACCTCTCCCTTTATTTTCAGAGCTCGGAACAGTGGAGGTGCCTTCTTTGTTCACTGTCTCTCCTTTCAAAGGCCACAGTTTATTTCCAGTGAAGAGGACTGGAGTTAGAAAAGAGCTGGAAGAAGGAGAAAGAGGGAAAATGGGATGTTCAGGACAAGACACAAATGAACAATCAGGGAAGATAAAGAGATGGAGAAAGGGGAAGAGAAAGGAGAAAATGAAGGGAGGAGACAGTCAGAAGGAGGCAGTGCCATCCAGCACCAGAGGGTAAGCACAAAGAGGAAGCCTGGGGACAGCTGGAGGAAGGTCACCAGCCAGGCTGTAGGTCTTGAATGACATCAGGGAGTCAACTGACAGCAAAGCAAAGTCCAGTCTCTGCCCCTGGCTTTGCTACCCTGAATACCAGGAAGTGCCTTCTCCTCCTTTTTTTGCTGGTTCTCTGTAGTGGGCTGTGTGCCACATGAAAACCTTCCCAGCAGGCACCGCAGAACTCTGCCCTGCCCCGTCTGTCCACTGCAATCAGCTGAAGACTCCTCAGAGTTGGCTCTGAGCAGTGGCAAAGGCCATCCATCTCGAGGAGACTCCTCCTGGTTGTACTTAAGGACCTGGCTTGAATCAGAAAGATTGGTTCAGACCGTGAAAAAGGGGATGAATATGATCCTAAGGGGAGAAGAAGCAATGTTTCCCTGGGCAGGGAAAGCACATTAGTTACAGAGCTGTGGATTTCTAATTCAAGGGTTGTCGCCTGACTCTGGTGGGTAGACCTCAGACCTGCCCAAGAAGCACGAAGCCAGATTTGTGCCCTGTAGGAAACCAGTTCTGTTGTCCTGCTCAGCTCTGCTACTGCCTTCAACCAGCTCCCAGCACCATTGCTCAGGGACAGAAAGAAGACCCCACAAGACAATCCTTGTGTCCATAGTTAACTCAGGAACAAGAAACACAGCAGGGTAGTCCATGTCCCAGGCTGCAGCAGGCAGCAGCTGACTCTCACCAAGGACATAATACAGCCTGTTCTATGTGATATAGGTCCTACATGATGCAATTGGAGTTCTTCAGGTCAAAAGGAAACTTCAGCATAAATTAATGTCTTAAACACACCGAGTCCAAAAAAAAGGATTAGAAGGAATGGGCTCTTGCTGCCCTCATGAAGCTTTCTGAAAGATCCACATTGAAATCCAGAGGTAGTTCAGTTCTGTAACTTTTAATCATATACTACTTGTTGGTTGGGGAGGAGATAGAGCAAGATCTACAGACACACTTGCTGATCTATCAGCACTTGCTGAAAGGGAAGAAAATACAGAGAGGATGCTGGGAGGAAGAGTCCTCTAACAGAAGGAATGCTCTGTCAGGAAGTCTTGAATGAGCAGGAAACTAGAAAGGGAGGGCAATTCAGTCTTCATTCAGTCTACTTGCCTTATTTACCCCTCTTTGCAAACAGCTTCATGATAGCCCTACAGTGTCACGTTACCTGTGTCTGTATAACCTCCTGATTTCACACTCCGGTGCACAAACAAAAATCAAGCAAATTTCCTTCTTTCCTCCAAAAATGACTAGCACACTTATGTTAGACAGGTGTGCACAGGCTGCCCAGCCCAGCTCACTCCAGCCCAGACATCCTTACCTCCGGAGGAGCAGTTTAGGGTGGTTCTTGCTCTCCAGATTTTTGTCTATGAGGTCAGCCAAGAGCTGCTTGAGGACATCAGTAGCATACTCCAGCTTGCTCTGCAGCACCGTCATGATCAGCGAGGCCACGTTACCACGGTCCCGCATGGAGAAGCTGCGTTGGGACTCCAGCGTGCGGATGAATGAATACCTTGTTGTTGATGAGCTGGGCGAAGAGCTTCAGGCCTTTCTCCACCCGTTCCTGCCTATAGCCAGGGACCTGCACAAGAAGAAAGGGAGTTTATGACTTCCAGTCAACTGCCCACTGTGAGAGCTCTCCTGAATGGGTCACACACCCTTTGCTACATCTCTGCCCTCATCCCTACAGCTCCTCTAACTATACACTTTGACATGAAGCAGACGTCAGTCCTGAGACAAGGAAAAGGGAAAAGTTGCTTCAAACAGCAGGAACAATTAAAAATTATTTTTAAAAAGTCTTGCATTTAGCAGGCAGGTGAATCCTTCCTTCTGCTTCACAGGATAGTTCTGTAAAAAGGAAGAGAGTCCATCTGGTGATTAGGAAGCCTATGAGACTTCCTAGCCACAGGCAGATGATTATTTTCCATCCCCATGCTTCCCTTCCTAAACAGTACATCAAGAAGAGATTGCTAGTACCTATATGTGGTACCACCCCATGTTGTATTTTTACTGTAGTCAGACTGAAGCCTCACTCCATCTCCACCTAACACCTGTTTTTCATTCCTGAAAGAAACATGCTTACAGAGATTTGGAGTTCAGCTCTAAGAAGCTGCATGAATAAAGCTGCAATAAAGTGAATGGGGAAGAGAGAGTGGGGGTCAGGTTTTGAGCAGATGAAGAGATGCGGTGAGGCAGTGGCTGAGATGATGAGCATGCAGCCAGGCCTTGGTTTGAAGAACTACATAGATGTAGGCGTGTGAGGAAACCCTGAATTGGGACCTGTCTTGGAAGTCCCACTGCAGTAGGACCCCTGGGCCTGAAAGGTGAGATTGTTTGGAGACAGAGAGGTCTCCAAACCTCAGCTGAGAGAGGCTGGTGAACGAGTTTCTATATAGAACAACTTAGGACCTTAACACTGAACACTGGAATCCACAGTCTACAGCGGACTTTATTCTTCCTCATCCTTCTGGCTCTAGACAAAAAATGGACCCTAAACAGAGAATCCCAAATTCATTCCTCCATGTTGCTGAAGCTGTTCCAGCCCTTGAAAAGCCTCTTCTGGGAGCTGGAGGTTCTCAACACAGAGCAACACGTCACTGAGGCAAGTATGTATTAATAGCCAACCACATTTGGCACTTTAATCCAAAACAAATTGGCATGCTTAAACAACCAAGTAATGCAAGGCCCCTTAAAGACTCATTACTTTGCCATTCTGGAAATTAGAGCTTTTAACTCTTTTTGCATACAGCAAATAAATTTCTTAGTAAATAGCTTGAGACAACCAATCAACCAACCACTACCACCCATCCTGCCAATAATTATTTTTAACTCACTTGCTTGAACATTTAATATTGTCTATCCCCAGGTTATTATGGAGAATTAAAAAAATAACAAGAAAAGTATTTTGTACTGCATCTGGAAGCAGTTAATTAGCAAATGAGCTGGAAATAAGTAAGACCTGCTCACTACAGGATCTATGCTGGGGCCTTTTCCAATAAATGGCAGCTCCTCCTAGGTGCTACAGAGAAGGGAGCAGAATGGATAATGCCTTTCCCGATAAGTTGGTAGCCAAAGATGCTGACTTTGAAAGAGCTCTTGAGGCTTTACAGAGGATTAAGGGGGAAAAAAAAAGAATGAAATGGAAGAAGAATTCAAAGGTGGCAGATGGAAACATTAGCTCTGTGTCTCTCTCTATGTATCTGCATATGACAGTGCCCGTGCTAAAACCTCTATAGGGGTCAGATGCTATTCTGTGGTCAGCTGGCTGAGACTATGAATATATGGACTGAAATTGGCTGTGGTACCATGAAAGTGTTTGTGTGTGTATATACTCATGTGAGGAAGAGATTCATCACCCCTTGCCTCTTGTGCTCATTTGTTGAAGCTGCTGAGCTACTCTTCCTGAGGAAAAGCAGCTTGAGACCACCCTACCTGCACCCCAAAGGCAAATAACTACAGTAGTCAATGTGTAACTCAGCCTCCTACCCATCCCCACAAGTCCTCACTGCTGACAGATCAGGTTAACAGTTGTCTCCACACAGTTTGATGAATTTTGGCTCTCCAGAAGGGAAGGAGCAAAGACGAGCAGGCACCTCTGATTACACAGCCAGCCAAGCATGGTGTTGCCTGCGCCAGCTCCTGTTCCTCCTCTCTGCCAACTAACCCCAGTCTTGGCCTTCAGCAATCTCATCAGCCCATGCCAGAGCCTCTCTGAAGCTCACACTTTGCCAAAGTCTTTGCAGAGAGCTCAGCCAAGGACCTCCCTGGCCTTGGCCATGGTGTATCCCCTGCTTCTCTGGCTCAGGTATCCCTAGAGCTGAGCCTGTGCATCTGCCAAAGCCTGAAGCAGTTTTGCAGCATGGACAGACATCACCCGGGGTCCCGTCAAACTCACTGTCGCCTGTGAGGTAATGCAGGCTGCGTGCAGACCTCGAACAGTGCTGGGGTCTTGCCATCCTCCTCCCACTGAGGTCCAGAGAGCTGGAGTGAAGGTGGCACATGTGGGCAGGGTATGGGCAGACTGATGCTGTGGTTTTCTGAGCCAAGTGCAAACCACAGAGCAAAGGTGAACCTCACTCAGTGACTGCAGGTTATTTCTATAGGTGTTCCCAGCACAAAGGCTTTTTGGTAGTGTCAGTGATGTGCAAAGCTAGAGTGACACAGGCAGCTATGCTACTCTGCCACACGACTGTTTCTTCTGGACCCTGCACAGGAGTAACTAATAAATGCAGTCTGAAAAACCAAACTCCAGCAGGATGAAAACCAAGGAGGAGCTTAATACAGTAGACCCAATGCACACAGATCTATGAGACCCTTCCAAATAGATGAGTGATTAAACAGGATTGAAGAAACCATCTTCCCCTTCCCAACAGGACTTTTAATGAGGTGCTGTTTCACCCCTGGTAGGACACAGCAATGTAAGTCATCACATCCCCACCACTGACACATCATCTTTTGCACTCTGGACAGAACATGGAGGCATGATAAGAGCCAAAAGCAGCAGAACTTGATTTCTTACCTCCAGATCCCTCAGGACTGGATGATCTTCAATCCCAGGGAAAAGCACCCTCATGGTGTAGGTTCGGTAATCGAGGAAAGGGATCCCGGCTCCATCCAGATCACTTGTCAGCTCATGAATGTCTGTCTGTAGCTCTGCAAAGGCTGACAGAAGAAAAGGAACAACTCATGTAGCAATGACAATCCAGGTCTCCCACACTGTGATGGGAAAAGTCCTCACTCATGTGCATGAGACTAAGGTACAAATGGAGAAGCAACATGTGGAGAGGACAAATAAGGTAGACAAGAGCTGTCTCAGCTTTAGCACAACACAGCCCTTCCCCAGGGCCACGTGCCAAGGCTCTCTTTGGACTGTGAGTTAGCAAATGCAGTCAGGACAGGGTGGAGGAAGGCAGGATCCAGGGAAAATAGGCAAAGTCAGGTTAGATCCAGACTCAAACCATACCCAAAGGGTTCAACGCTCCTTTTGCTTGTGATACTTTGGCTCAAAGCTTTGTGACTGGATCCCTCTCTGCTACCAACACTGACACCGTGCCATCCTTCCTTCCTCATCCTACCTTCTTTGCACTCCAGTGCCACCCTGGACTCCAGGTTGTCCATCTGCATCTGCAAACGCTTGAGGGTGAGGTCACTTTCCCTGGATTTGCGCTTGTAGGCAATCAACACAGCCACGATGAAGATGATGAGCAGGCCACCGGCCACCGCAATGCTGACAATAGCTGGCAAGCTGAGAGGGCTGTCTGGAGAGATGTAGACCATCCCTGGGGAGAACTCCATCCCTCCTACACGAGCCTGGAGGGAATGCAGGAAATAGTTACATCGAAACTGCTGAACAAGCCAGAACTCAGAGGAACTCCACCATCTCCCTGATTAAGGCTGAATGATGACCTTCCCTTGTCTCCCAAGCTAAACAGGTCATGAAGTACTGGGATAGAGAACAGCTTAAAACTACCTTGGTTGACAGCGTGACCATGAACCCAAGCAACAATGGACTTAATAGAATCGTGGAATGGTTTGGGTTGGAAGGGACCTTAAAGATCATCTAGTTCCAACCCCCCTGCCATGGGCAGGGACACCTTCCACTAGACCAGGTTGCTCCAAGCCTCATCCAGCCTGGCCTTGAACACTCCCAGCGATGGGGCATACACAGCTTCTCTGGGCAACCTGACCCACTGCCTCACCACCCTCTCCAGGAAGAACTTCTTCCCGATACCTAATCTACATATCCTGCTTTCAATTTAAACCCGGTACCCCTTGTCCTGTAACTCCCTGCCCTTGTAAACATGTGTGTCT